TAGTCCTGATCCTCCACCTGGTTCTGGCCGCTCTATGCCAGGGAGGTTCTTGCTAACGATACTCACTCAATTTGCTGAAAGAAACATTTTCTTATACCTCTTTCGCCAAAATTTTAACAGTAAACAATAAAATATAAAGATATTTAATTCATTTTAATTTGTAGATGACTCCGTACTGACAGGTGTCTACACGAGCCTCAGTGTATCTCAGCCGCTAGGGGGCGGGGCAGTGGGTGGAGCTGGAGGTAGAGAGGAGGAAGAGGAGGTGGATTCCTCAGGATTATTGTCAGTTGCTTCTCCTGTCACATATCTCCTTGAGGTGAGTCTCATCCAACTATGTCTTACCTCATATGGTCTTATTGCCGTAGGATGTCACCGTTGCTACTCACTTCACTCAGGAGATCACCATACAGTCTTTGGTTAATTTAGCAAAATATTTGGAACTGATTCCGGAAAGTTTCTCCTCTCTATTTTGGAACTTGACAAACCTTGACTGCTTCCTCAAACAGTTGAAAGAACACCCCATTGTACGTTACTATAAATAGACACTGTACAGTGTGTATTATTGTGCTATAAATATACTCTTTGTTACTATAAATAAACACTTTTATATATCTTTATTTCAGGTTTTACATGGATCCTTCAATGCCGTGTTACGTGTTATCATAAAGCTATTGAAGTTCTGTGATTCGAACAATTTCACTGTCCGTATTCACACAGCACCTTTTATAATAATGACAGTTTCTTTTCTCTAGTATAATGCTGCCAGTTCCATCACTCTGGGGGCCATTTTGACAGAATTTCCTGATATCATAATGGAGGGACTTCACAATGTCTATATACCAGCTGGGGGCATAGTCTCGCTTGTTGGGGCGTGGCACAAAGCATTCTTCCATTATCCTTCAGCTAAGGCACAGTCTTTCTATTTATATTTATTTATTTATTTATTTATTTATTTTAGAGGAGAGAAGTTGCTAAAAAGTTCTTGCTTTTAAAGTCCCTTATCGAAGAGTTCAGTGAAGGTCTTTCTCACAATTCCTCGGTACTTCCTGATAATCTCATCAACTTGTGTCAGTCATTCGTGATACTCTTAAATGAATACGTCTATTTTGGGTACATTGAGACTCTATGGGAGAAGAGAGTCTACACACAGCAGCTGGTATGTATAGTGTGATCATGTGATGTTCATGTGATCCTCCTGATAGCTTGATCAAGAGATACAGGACATTCAATTGAGCAGTTTAGTTAACAGCTGTGAAGGAATTGAAGTGGCTTTTAACAACGCTTTGAGATATGCTGTCAATTACCTAGCATCTGAGCTATCGCAAGCACCTCAAGAAGTAGGAATTTATTATTATTATTATTATTATTATTATTATTATTGTTGTTGTTGTTGTTGTTTAGATTTCCTGTCAAGTCAAGTTGAGTGTCTCCCAGCTTGTGGTGCTCAGAGTGAACCGTTCCAACTACCCCATTGATATTATAAGGAGAATTGTTGAAGGACAGTACAGTCTCTCTTGGGTTGAGAAGAGGTTAATGGGGCCATGTTATATTCAGTGATGATGCTCCTCTTTTTCTGTTATAGTCAAAAGATTCGGAACATTAGATCAGCTGATCATCATTCAGTGGATATGCACCCTGGAGATAATATCAACCCTCTAATGGTTCGATTTTATTATTTTAATGTTATTTTATTTTCCTGTAGCTGCTAGGCTGGTTATTCTTGGGTAGCCTTTGCCACAATTCAGTTCATTCAGCTGTCATTAGAGGAGGGATTCATAAGATGGAGAGAGTCCTGTCGACCGAGTGTGAGATACTCCTCCGATTAGCTTCTCCCATTAATAAAGTCGTATCCAACATCCTCCATCTTGTCATCAGGGCTCTCCAGGGACTCACTGATGTAAGGACCAGGGACTTTAGTCAATTAGTTATTTATTTATTTATTTTATAGAGAAATCAGTATTATGGTTTCAACTGCATACTGTGCTTCTGTACTGTAAGTTAGTGTCATGTGATCATCATGTGACTATCATGTGATCATCATGTGACTATCATGTATCTACAGATATGGACCGTCTATATGGAGTTACACATTAATGACGCTGTTCCAGAGATAGTCAATTCCTGGAGGATGATTGTTGATATTATACTGGACCTACCCACTAAACAAGGAATGGTAATCCTGTATAGATGTAGATCCTCCTTTTAATCATGTGCGTCTACCTTACCCTCTCTCTCTCCTTCAGTTAATGTGTAAACCAGATATTGTTGGAGTTTTCTGTAATCAAACACTAATCCCACTCAAAAAGGCCACCAGTGGCATATCATCATTCTCACTTGTAAGATTGTAGTCAAAAAGACTCATCATCATCATCATCATCATCATTATTATTATTATTATTATTATTATTATTATTATTATTATTATTATTATTATTATTTTGTTCTATTTTTAGTTGCTACCAACTTGGAAGAGGGTTATCAACATGCTGCCAAACCCTGAGGAGGTAGTCCTCTAATGAATTGTTTGTTTATGACTGCTATAGTCTTTTCCAAAAAATGGCTCCAAAATCACCCCAAATTTTTATTACATTTTCTAATGCATAATGATGTACTTATGCAGTGTAGAAAGTTTGAGCTGATTCCGACTTCAATTTTTTAAGTTACGGCCATTTTAAGAAAACGTTAAAATTCTGAAAATACCCAAGGCTATAGTCCATGGTTTTTTCCAAAAAATGGCTCCAAAATCACCCCAAATTTTTATTACATTTTCTGATACATATGAATGTACTTATGCTGTGTAGAAAGTTTGAGCTGATTCCGACTTTAATTTTTCGAGTTATGGCCATTTTTTAAAAATGCCAAAAATCTGAAAAATACCCAAGGCTATAGCCCATGGTTTTTTCCAAAAAATGGCTCCGAAATCATCCCAAATTTTTATTACATTTTCTAATACATATTGATGTCCTTATGCTGTGTAGAAAGTTTGAGCTGATTCCGACTTCAATTTTTAAAGTTACGGCCATTTTAAGAAAACATCAAAATTCTGAAAAATATCCAAGGCTATAGCCCATGGTTTTTTCCAAAAAATGGCTCCGAAATCATCCCAAATTTTTATTACATTTTCTAATACATATTGATGTACTTATGCAATGTAGAAAGTTTGAGCTGATTCCGACTTCAATTTTTTAAGTTACGGCCATTTTAAGAAAACGTTAAAATTCTGAAAAATACCCAAGGCTATAGCCCATGGTTTTTTCCAAAAAATGGCTCCGAAATCACTCCAAATTTTTATTACATTTTCTGATACATATTAATGTACTTATGCTGTGTAGAAAGTTTGAGCTGATTCCGACTTTAATTTTTCGAGTTATGGCCATTTTTTTTAAATGCCAAAAATTTGAAAAATACCCAAGGCTATAGCCCATGGTTTTTTCCAAAAAATGGCTCCGAAATCATCCCAAATTTTTATTACATTTTTAAATACATATTGATGTACTTATGCTGTGTAGAAAGTTTGAGCTGATTCCGACTTCAATTTTTTAAGTTACGGCCATTTTAAGAAAACGTTAAAATTCTGAAAATACCCAAGCTAGGCTATAGCCCATGGTTTTTTCCAAAAAATGGCTCCAAAATCACCCCAAATTTTTATTACATTTTCTGATACATATTAATGTCCTTATGCTGTGTAGAAAGTTTGAGCTGATTCCGACTTCAATTTTTTAAGTTACGGCCATTTTAAGAAAATGTCAAAATTCTGAAAAATACCCAAGCTAGGCTATAGCCCATGGTTTTTTCCAAAAAATGGCTCCGAAATCATCCCAAATTTTTATTACATTTTCTGATACATATTAATGTACTTATGCTGTGTAGAAAGTTTGAGCTGATTCCGACTTTAATTTTTCGAGTTATGGCCATTTTTTTTAAATGCCAAAAATTTGAAAAATACCCAAGGCTATAGCCCATGGTTTTTTTCAAAAAATGGCTCCGAAATCATCCCAAATTTTTATTACATTTTTAAATACATATTGATGTACTTATGCTGTGTAGAAAGTTTGAGCTGATTCCGACTTCAATTTTTTAAGTTACGGCCATTTTAAGAAAATGTCAAAATTCTGAAAAATACCCAAGCTAGGCTATAGCCCATGGTTTTTTCCAAAAAATGGCTCCGAAATCATCCCAAATTTTTATTACATTTTCTGATACATATTAATGTACTTATGCTGTGTAGAAAGTTTGAGCTGATTCCGACTTTAATTTTTCGAGTTATGGCCATTTTTTTTAAATGCCAAAAATTTGAAAAATACCCAAGGCTATAGCCCATGGTTTTTTTCAAAAAATGGCTCCGAAATCATCCCAAATTTTTATTACATTTTTAAATACATATTGATGTACTTATGCTGTGTAGAAAGTTTGAGCTGATTCCGACTTCAATTTTTTAAGTTACGGCCATTTTAAGAAAATGTCAAAATTCTGAAAAATACCCAAGCTAGGCTATAGCCCATGGTTTTTTCCAAAAAATGGCTCCGAAATCACTCCAAATTTTTATTACATTTTCTGATACATATTAATGTACTTATGCTGTGTAGAAAGTTTGAGCTGATTCCGACTTTAATTTTTTGAGTTATGGCCATTTTTTTTAAATGCCAAAAATTTGAAAAATACCCAAGGCTATAGCCCATGGTTTTTTCCAAAAAATGGCTCCGAAATCACCCCAAATTTTTATTACATTTTCTGATGCATATTGATGTCCTTATGCTGTGTAGAAAATGAGCTGATTCCAACTTCAATTTTTCAAGTTACGGCCATTTTAAGAAAATGCCAAAAATCTGAAAAATACCCAAGGCTATAGCTCATGGTTTTTTTTCCAAAAAATGGCTCCGAAATCATCCCAAATTGATGTCCTTATATTTTTGTGTTCACAGGCCGAGTTAGCAGATTATGCTTGTGTTAATGAGATTGGTATGGACCTCTGGTTCAGAGAAATGCTCAAGAAATTTCACGAGTTGGAATCACAGTATCTATCAACATGATACGACATGAATCATGGAATCAGTGATCAATTTTAATCAAGAAATCAAGTTTAATTTTTACATCATTAATTATTTGCTTTTAAGATTTACTGTATTTATTCATCAGCAGTGTTGAGTAGTGTAGTCTCTCTATGGAACAATATTTGATGTGTTGTGGTGTCATGTGGTTATATTTTTATTATGTAAAACATTAAATAATTTGCAAATGAAGAGAAGATACAAAGAATGAGAGAGAGAGGGGGGGGGTGAAAGGATTAGTCGCTAGCATCTTCATCAGAGAAATAAGAATCTTTCTTAAGGGTTTTTCGCTGGCGGCCATATTGATGTATCAGGTCACTCGTCATCACTGGCTGCTGTTCTATTGTTAATGGGTCACTTAAAAGTGGGCGTGGTTTATCATCAGTCTGTGGGCGTGGTTCAATCTCTCGTTCTTCTTGAGAGATTCTTATAGCTTCACCCAGAGATATATCATCATCATCATATTCATCAACAACCTCTTCTGTAGCACTAATAATAATAAATAAATGAATAATAATAATCTGATATATTTTACCTCTTGTCACGTTCAGATTGTTTTCTTTTTCTCTTTTTAGTTTGAGGTTGTTCCCGATCACCTAACGCATTCTTAGGACACTGGTAACTTAAATGGCCTCCTTCCTAAAGTGAAACATCAACCGCTGACCACTCTACAATACTCTATGGATAATGTTAAAATTGACTGTTTAAAGAGCAAAATTTTGACCATACATTGCAGGGCCTCTACAAAACAGGTTCAATTTGAGACTAAAATTTTGGTAAACAGACCTCATTTCACCAAAATTTAACTTGATCAAAATGACAGTACATGATATAATGGCAATAACTCACTCGACACTCATAGCAGAATGATTTATCTTTATAAATTTTCCTTTTTATAAATTCAGGTGCTCGTCCATTGTCTTTAGCAATGCTACACTTTAAAGTTCTTCCAAACATTTCCCTGTCATTCATTATCTGTACTGCCCTTGCGGCGGCCATCTTGTCAATGAACAGAATAAAAGCCACACCTCTACTCTCTCTCTTCTCCTTATCTTTGACTACGGTAACCCTTTAAAAGGGTTTGAAAAATTTAAAAATAAAATAAAATAAGAACATTTTTAGATTTGTTATTCGTACTTTCATACTTTAATTTTATTAATACTCACTTTCCAATTTTTCCAAATTTTTCAAATATCTATCAACAAAATTTTATAAAACATAAATAATGATCGCCTTTTCACTTTGTGTAGGTCATTATTGGTGAGACAATACGGAAGATTACTGACATACACGGTGCTTTTACTAGGACACAGTCCCCCACTCATTGTCTAAGGAGAGGAACTATAACTGACAATCTGTTAGTGAGTCACTCACCAATTTTCCATATCCTTCCTAACAGTAGCCATGTTTTCATTAATAACTAGCAATAGCTAGATATCTCTAGTTATTAATAGTTATTATTACTAGTTATTAAAGGGTTAAAATTCTTTCCGCCGAGAGTTCCGTACCAAGTTCCTCGCAGTTCTCTTTGTCTGGTTCTCTTTCTATTCAGTGATGATCGTTGATGATGATAGCAGTGATTCTGAGCTAGAGGGGCGTCTCTCAGTCTCTCCCGCTGTCACTAGAGGCGGGGGCCTAAAGGGTTCCAGCAGTCCAACTCATTTCGTCAAGTTTAAGCCACTGGAGCTGAGCGAGCCTGAGTCTGAAGAAGAAGAAGATGGAGAGCATCTTAACTTACCTGCTGAGGTTAGAGAATTTTATTGATTTATTTATAATTTCTTTTATGAAGTTGTTTACAGTAATTATTATTAATGTAATTATGATAAATTACTGTCATCTTAATTGATGACAGTTACCCATTCCTAGTGTGTATTGTTTGTTTATAATAGTCTACAATTTGTTGTTGTTGTTTATTCTGTTGTTGTTGTTTATCCTGTTGTTTATTAATAGGCTAAAGGTAAGAACAGACGTGCTAGTGAGGCAATAGCTCAGTGGCGGTCGCAGCGTTGGGAATCAGTGGATTCATTTTCATCAGATGATGACCAGGCATATGAGAGCACACCACTACTGAACAAACAGCTCTACCTACTGGTTGCCAGGTGTATAGCGTATCCATTTAACTCTAAGTTCCAGATAGAGACCGCTCCCCCTAAGCCACGCCTTAGTAACGAGAGTTACTTAAAGATATGCGATGTCCTTCAGTCAGCCATCAACACTGATAAAACCCTCCAGCAACATTTGATTCTTAACGGGAACGAGATGAAGACCATTGTCAATGCTGACTTCTTGCAAACAGTCGAGTGGTACTTTACAAACATTCTCTCACGGGATGACGTCCGCATAGCCTGTACCTCCGGAGGGTTTTCTATCAAGGAACTTGAGAATATATTCCGTGTGGCTATTTGCCGCAAGTTTAGAGATAAATTTGAGACAGCAACAGGAGGAGGAGGAGGAGAGAGGAGTATCACCAAGAAGATAGAGGGGGATCCCAAGTTTCAAATATGGGTCTGTACGTTTGTGAAACTGATTGAGCATGGGTCCCAGAGCGTCATGTCAGAGAGGGAGCTGAGACAGATCAACAAGCAAATGAGTTGGGAGAAACAAGAGCTCTACTTGTTATTTCAGAATATACTGGGGATTTCAAAGAGTGATCATCAAGCTTTATTTAGAACCTGCCATGTGAGAAATTCTCTCTCTCTCTCTCTCATTGATTCTTTTCTTTTCTTTTCCAATAGTTAAATAATTTGGAAGAGCAAGAGGACGTGGTTAGGCGAGAGATTCATAAAAGAAAAGAATTGCTCAAAAAAGTAAACAAACAATCTAATTATTATTGATATAGGAATTGTCTGATGTTGACATTTGATTATTACATAAACAGATTTTAATAATGCGGACAATTCTGAACAATCCCATTATGAGACTTTGACTCAATTTTGGAGCAACTTTTAAAATTCGTAAAAAATCCAATTTTGATCAGAATCAACTCAAACTTTCTACACAGCATAAGTACATGTATATGCATCAGAAAATGTAATTAAAAATGGAGAATTTTCTTCTTTTAATTTTGGCAAAATTTGGTCAAAGTCCCTGTACTACAGTTCCTGTACTTTGGTCAAATTTCATCAAAAATGAAAAGGAGAGACATCTTACTACATTTCCTGGTACCTCGCAGGGTGTATGCAGCTTTTATTGGAAGAACCAGTCGGAACAAGTGTTGGGTGCTTACTTTGATGAAATGGACAGAAGGTTACGAGAACTCACTGAGAACCTTGAGTCTCGCTCAATGACATCATCAGAATATGGAATGAGGGAGAAAAAGAAGTGAGAATATGTTCATTGATTATTTATTATTATTATTATTATTATTATTATTATTATTATTATTATTATTATTATTATTATTATGTTTGTTTGTTTGTTTGTTTTTTTGTTAATAGGAAAGTTACTGCTGATTCTACTGCTCAAACTTACACAAATAAAGACTTTGTATTCCATCACAAAGTGAAGGTACACTGTTGTCGTTTGTACTTGTTATAATAATAATAATCATTATCATTTTGTTATTTTCAATTTAGGTAACAGTTCGAGATGCCAGTCAGATAATTGGAGTTGCAGAAGGGAAAAATATTTTTATTGTTTTTGAAGTAAATAAATAAACAAATTAATTAATGGAATATCTTTCCCCAACAGTTGGAAGGGAACAATCCGTTGGCTACTAAATCAGTTCCACTCAACACAAAACACATTGCGCTGTAAGAGACCACACGTACATGGGCTATATAGCTATTTAATTATTATTAATTATTATTAAATAATTATTATTAATTAGGTTTGATGAAGGTGGAGAGTTCTGGACTAATACTCCCCTACCTCAGATCAGTTTTATCTTAAAATTAGAAACCCAGGGATTGCTCAGTAGCGAAAAGTCTTTAGCAAAGGTAAGAACCATGTACATTATTATTTTTATTGTTGTTGTTGTTGTTGTTGTTGTTGTTGTTGTTGTTGTTGTTGTTGTTGTTGTTATTCAGAAACTCCACACTGTGATGCCTACTGCAGTGGAGACTACTGATGATGTTGAGCTTCAAAGGAATGACGGTACAGTCCTCACTCACCTCAGGGTATCAACGTTTCTAGAGCGGCCTGGGAACATGAGGAAGTGTGGGTCAGTACTAATACACATGAAGCTCCTCCCTTTATACACTAACAGGTACCTCTATTGTGCTGGGGACTTTGCCTTTAAGCAATGGCGGTCACGGTTCCTTGCTCTTCTTCAAATGTCCCAGTTTAGTTTTGCTTTTTGTCACTACCAACCAAAGGACACTCACCCCAGGGAGTTCATCGTCCTTGAAGGATACACTGTACAGTATCTGGCGGAAGGTACTGACACAGTTACATGTAATCTCTTAAGTAATTAAATGTCTTTAAATTGCACACAGCACCTCTATTAGAGGGCCCTCCTATACTTTAGGATTATATTTATGTAGCCCCAGTCTTATAATATATACAGTCTCTTTTATTACATGTACATGTACTGATAGTTTCCATTCTTTTCAGAGCCAAACGGAGAAGATTTAGCCAAGTATCATTTCACTCTTTCGTCTGAGAAAGGAGTCATCAAGTTTGGGTGCATGACCTCGAGTGAGAGAGACCAGTGGGTCCAATGGTTGACGAGGGCTACTGGTCAAACGGACAAACCAAAAGACAAACCTGGTAAGGAATATGGCCAGCTGTTATACTGAGTTATACTGAGTTATACTGAGATGTACGTAGGTTTTATAATGTCCCTTCTCTTCCTTATTAGGTAATCCAGCTGCTGGTAGTATTCCCAAGTCTCCATTAGCAGGAGGGGATATCAAGGCTATGGGTATTGCTGATGTTGTCAATATGGACGTTGCAGAGTTGGACCATCCAAAAATGTTTACAAAATTATTTAAATCAATTCTTAACTATCGTCTCAAGGAAATTGATTTCAGTCGAGTAAGTACATATACATGTGTCTATTAATTAATAGTTCAAAATGGCGGGTTTTTCAACAAATCGCACCTTTAAAACATCATATTTGCCGAAATTCCCTCCCCCCCAGCAGTATAGTCAATATTATTATTTCTATATTATGCAGGGTTTCTTCTCTCCTGGTCAGATGTACGTTATTGATGAGTACTGTGCTAGGTACTGCATTAGACTCAGCCACAGACACTTGACCTGCCTTTGGGAGTGGCTGCAATGTGAACTCAAAGGTCAAAGAATATGGCCAGTCATGATGCTCCACTCGTTTGGTTTCTGTCAGATGCACGTCATGGGACAAAAGTAAACAATAAACAACAACAACAACAACAATAATAATAACAAACAATTGAATAAACAATAGGCCACAGGAACACAGCGAGGTGGTTACCCCAGAGGAGAGGAAGCAGTGGTCACAACTGAGTGGACAGATTGAGCTACTCCTGGCAGAAAAACTTGAGAACTTCAGAGAACACTTTCCATTTTCTTGTCCTAAAGATGATCTTAAAATATCAATGAAACTTTTTACTCTTGTAAGAGGACAGGGGCTCATTATTATTATTATTATTATTAGTATTATTATTATTATTATTATTATTATTAATAGGTTGCTGAAATCAATCATTCCCAGGAGTCTAAGCACAATATGCCGTTATACAGTGAGGACACGCCCCTCAAACTACTCATTGCTATTTTGGAGAGAGCAGCTCTCAATAATTATAAAAAGATATTCGCTAAACTTTGGCAATATGAAGAACTGGAACTAGGTACATAAAACACTCCCGTATACATCATATTATCATTATTATTATTATTATTATTCTTATTATTATTATTATTATTATTATTATTATTATTATTATTATTATTATTATTATTATTATTATTATTATCATTATTATTATTATTATTATTATTTTACAGATGAGTACAGTGATCATTTGAATGTTGATCAGCTCTATACATTGGCTCAGATGTGTGTGGATTTCATGTACGAACTTCATGAGTTTTATGCTGACGTAAGTACATGATACCAGTATGTTATCATTATTATTATTATTATTTATTATTATTATTATTATTATTATTATTTATTATTATTATTATTATTATTATTATTATTAGGATTTCACACTGTATCCTTTGGCACTAGTAGCTCACATTGATGCCTTTTGGTCATTCTTTGTTGTTGATCTTCAAGAGTGTCTGAAGGAGGCTGATGTCTCTCTTGTCTCGCTATTAAAAATGTTTTATTCTTTGAATGAATATTTCTGTTCACAGCGTAAGGACTAGTGCATTCATTAAAATACTGATATTATTTATTTATTTTATTTTATTTTATTTTATATAGCTTCATTAAAGTTAAGTAAGTTTCATCAGACACTACTCCAGCAGTTTGAGCCATTGGTTGATTCATATCTCACTGGACTGAATGAGAATATCAGGAATGATCTTGAGCAGTTCCTACAGCACGAAACATGGCTACCAGTCAAGTGAGACCCTGTAGTGTAGCCTAAACTAAACCTGGTTATATTTAGATTTGTTGCAAATTTTTAAAGTTGTTAAAAAATTGAGCCAAAGCCCTTGTACTACTTGTATATGTGCAGGGACTTTAGCCAAATTTTACCAAAAATGAAAGAGATAATTCTCCATTTTATAATTATATTTTATTTCAATATCTTTCTCTAGTGAATGCTGCTATAGCATGCAAGGCTGTCTTGAAGCACTGGAGTCCATCAAAACGTTTGTTGAGCAGTTGAACTGGCCACAGGATCCATTTGCTACTTCACTAGTGACCAAAGTCCAGACTATTTGTGCTGATAAATTTGAAATTGTTGTTAAATTGTGAGAAAAAGAAAGGGCCGGAGCTAGGGTATGTTTAATTTATTCTTTTAGTACACTAGAACAGTGTGACCTTCAGCTGAAAGGACTTCTCATGAAGAATGGCTCCATTTTACCAAAACCAGTCATCACAATGGTCAATACTATTATGTTCCTTGGAGCACAGGTATATGATATTTATTTATTTATTTATTTATTATGTTTGTTTGTTTGTTTGTTGTTATAGGCTGCTTCTTTTTGTGGTTTTTCTCAGAGTTCTAGTGGACAAGTTCCTCAAGAAGTTAGTTTGTATCAATTTAGTTATGAACCTGACCCTCTCTCCTTAGCAACTAAGTATAGCTGTTAACATGACTACTTCATTAGAGAATTCTGTTGATAAAATGCTTAGCTCAGTAATTCAAAAGGTACGTACTGTGTCATGTGATCATGTTGTGATGTCACATGATGTCATTTGATGTCACATTATCCTCTAGTTGTGTGAGCCTTTCAATGAGCTACTGGAACTGATGTCGAAACAGGATCCAACAGCTAGTCTGTTCTCTTCATTGAGGAAGATTGTAATCACATGATAATCACATGACTGATCATTGATACGTTACTAGGTACCTGGTCAGATACCAACTGAAGGATACTGCTCTTATGTTAAAACTAACTTGCAACACTTGTCATCTACACTCGTTTTAGCTGCTTTTAACAATTTTGTACTAGTAAGGAGAGAGAGAGAGAGAGAGAGAGAGAGGGATAAACTGTTATTATGTTTATTAGAACTGGTATGAGTCACAGATGAGGTTATTAAACCAGTGGGTGAGGTATAGGCCAATATTCTCACTCAATCCTGCTCAACAGGACGCCATTGAAGCACTACTGAAGGTTTGATAGTGACTGCTAGCAAGTAGCTACTATAGTTCCTTCTCTTTAGGATATCAGGGACCTATTCCTGGAGGTTGATTTAGACGAAGAGCAGCTGGAGACTGAGAACTATGGACAGATTGAAGACCGACTGAGGAAAGAAAGATCACAAGCAGCTCTGATGGGGCAAGAAGACTAACAGCCACAGAATATTGCTATTGCTTCTTCTCCTGCAGTAGAAGGAGCTTCCCTACCATTATACATGTACATTATAATTCATGACATTATTTTTAGCACAGCATTCATCAATCATCAGCAACCATACTGTCTTAATTTTATTCATCAGTTCAGCTCATCTTTTACTAATATTCATAGTTTAGCAGTAAAGAGCAAATCAGCAATTCCACTAGTATAGCCACACCTTTGTAATGGCTGAGTCTATGGGTGATCCAGTTAAAGAAAGTGATGGCGGAGGAGGAGAAGCAACTAATGAAGGAGAAGGCGAATGTAAAGAGAAAGGAGAGCAAGCAACTTGTAAATTGAAGTTGGATAGAAGAAGCCAAGAGGAAAGAAAAAAAGAGGGTAACAGTAAGAGTAGAAGGCGGGAGAAAAGACTAAGGGAAAGAATGAATGCTGAACGTCCTAAGGATGTGGTAAATGAAGAAAGAGAGGCTAAACCAGGTGGAGCAGAAGGGCCTCAAGGCTTTATACCATCAAAGGAAGAAGACCTACAGGAACCAAAATATCCAGAGAAGAAAGAATGGCCGAGGGGAAGAGACAAACACTTAGACAGAAGATATGATGACCATGGAGGGTATTATGATGGAGATCATAGTAGACACAGAAAAGATGAAGATGAAAGAGATCACTATGGAAGACACGGGGATCATCATGAAGGATATAGACATGATGAAAGATTAAGGTACGATGAAAGACCAAGATACGATGGAAGACAAAGATATGATGGAAGACAAAGATACGATGGAAGGCAAAGATATGATGAAAGATCAAGATATGATGGAGGTGATAGACATAGGGAATATGGACAATATGAAAGACACAGACAAGGTAAATATGGTGAAGGTCACAGAAGAGGAGGAGGAGGGAAAGGTCCTCGTAGACATGAGCCAAAACTGAGGCCAAAACCTACACTACCACCTGGAGTGACATCATTTAGACTAGAAGAGCTTGACCTGTTTGATTCTCCTGCCAGTTCAAGTTTAGCTCACTGTGTCAGTGAAGACATGCACATGGGAAAAGGAATCGCTGTAGCTTTTAAAAAAAAGTTTAAAAGAGTGGATCAACTTTTGGAACAAGGTGTGTTATTATTATTATCATTTATTATTATTATTATTTATTATTATTATTATTTTCACAGGTGTTAAAACTGGAGGTGTGGCTGTGTTAGAAGATAACAAACGCTACATATATTACCTGGTAAAATAATTATTTGAATTATTATTTATTATTAATATTATTTTTCAGGTAACAAAAAAGAAGTATTTCCACAGACCGACTAACGATACATTAAAAAGTTCTTTATCAGTGATGAGGGAACACATAGTAGCTAATGGTGTGAAGGAACTGCATATGCCGCTAATTGGGTGTGGCTTAGACGAACTAGACTGGTATACAGATGTTGCATATATGATTGATGAAATATTCAAAGATATTAAAGACTTAAAAATTACTGTTTGCTACTTAGGAGAATAAGCCATTTTTATTAATTTTTGTACAATTTTTAGAAATTTTGTTAGCATCGTATGTTCCTGGTTTTTACCTTAAGCCTACTATTTTTAGCGTCTACTAAATTTAGCTATATTAGCGAGAGAGCTTTAAACTGCTAAATTAAATAGACGCCAAAATAATTATTATTCATTATAATGGTTATTATTTATAGTTAATTTGGTTAAAAACGCTAAAATTAGTAACGCTAAACATGACTTTTGCTGATTTCGCTAAATTTAGTAGACGCAAATAATAGTAGGCTTAAGGTAATTCAAATACAAAATAGGTGAGAATTTCACCTAAAATAGATCAGAAAATATCAAAAATAGTAGAACTGATTTATGCTATAAAAACCACATAAAAGTAATAACAATAATCCTTAATTACAATAAAACATTTAGAATAACGACACATAAAGTGTACTTTAAAAAGACAAGTACATGTACGTACATAATAATAATAATAATAATAACAATAACAATATTAATAAGATAGTATTATAATCATTATTTATAATACAGAGAGTGTTTTTCAGTTGTTATATTGAAGAGGCTTATAACTCATCATCATCAGTATCTGAGGGTTTATCTGAGACAGAAGGGCGCGGGGAAAGATTGTAAGCTCCCAGTATCCTAGCCTCATCATTACTGGGGAGGCAATTGTTACTAAAAATAGAACAAAAGAGAACAGTACTAGCTGTTATAAAAATAGAATCATTTATAGACAAAGCGTAATTGTAAGACAATGTTACTAAAAATAAAATAATTATTTAAAAATAGAAGACAGGTGCTCACTCGTGAAGGAAGTCCTCAATGTCATTCATTTTAAAAGATTCCCCAAGAGTGTCTGTGACTCTTAAAAGATTACCAATCATGTTACCACTTTTGTAGACCAATATGGCAGGAAGACCTTTCTCTTGCTAAAGGAGAAGAGAAGACATATTGATCATACATGATGACACTGTGACTTACAAATTCTTTGCTTAATTCCAATTGGTGAGATTGGATTCGACAAAACTTTACCTAAAAGATTGTAAAGCAACCAAAATGACAACACTACTGAGAAAACTTATGTAGAATACTAAGCATCAAAAGTTATTCAAATTACATGTAATTGTGTTTATACTCTCATGTCTGTCACCTGACTCACACTACAGTCACTACTGCATCACATTTAATCACTAAATGAACAGTATCGCATTACAAAAGTTGTACAAACGTACACTAAAATAGGAAATGTAATTAATTACTAGATAAACAGGACACAAACACAATAGATGTGGCACATCCTTAATACTAAATAAAGGACAAACAGGATGGAACTTATAGACAAAGGCATAGTAATAATCCTGAGTCTTTACTGCTACATCTATAGAGAGAGTTCAAGTCACTTTTGGTCTCTCATACTCAGCCCTGGTGTCCTTAAGACTCTCATTATTAGTTAGAATAGTCCCTCAGACTTTATTTCTACTTATAACACAGTGAGTGTACTCTCTCCTCATTCATACACAAAGGCAGTGGCTATTAGATTATCTTAACACAAACAAATTGACTGATAGTGTACCATGTACACACAAACACTAACTGTGGGATACTTCTTGGCAAGATCAGCAAGACATCTGTTCAACTTGACACATGTGATAAAGAACTAGACAGTAATTTATTACTAATAATAATAATAATAATAATGTTAACACCCTCACTTCATCATAAATATGAATGATAACAAAGACATCAGGAGGAGCTGAATCTATAGCAACTGCATATTTATCACCACGTAGTTCAGTAAGATTACCAAACATTCTCCTAAAAGAGAGAGAGAGAGAGAGGGAGAGAGAGAGAGAGAGAGGAATTAGAACAAAAAAGACATACACAAATAGGAAGGGAAGTACAGTAGGAAGACCAGGAAATGTTTATGATTACATTATATTGAAAGGGACTGTGTACATTATGATGTATAAGATATGTCAACTATGCACAGCAGTGTGGCCATGACACATGTGCAGTATAAATGACAAATAAAATAATTAGCTAAATCACTAATATTGAGCCATGGTCCATTAATCAACTACTATTACTAAATCAATAATCTAATTCATTATTGATACCTTTTCTTTCCGTGAGTTTTAGCCTGCTCCTTCATTTGCTGAATCCTCTGTGCCCTGTATTGTTGCATAAACGGATCCCCTCCATCAATTTCCAGCTGCTCTAGAGTATCCAATAGATCCTTGGAAGAGGACTTACCCCCGTCTGTCTCATCCTCTTCACTCTGAGGGTGGAGTCAAGGGGCGGGGCCAGGAGAGGAAAAGAGAGGAGACAGAAAGAGAGAGGAATAGAGAGATAAAGTAAAGGAAAAAGGATATAATGTGTAAATATAGACTCTATTAGATAAGAATAATTATCATAAGACAACACAAACACAAATAAATACATGATGTGTACATTAAACACACAATACATGTACATGTACATGTATTGTGGCCCCTATCTACATGTACCTGTACTGTACTGTACCATATTATAATGTAACAAGAAACATGTCATGTACATGTACATGTACATGTACATGTATGAACATAAGAAACTGCAGAACTGTAAAACTGTCAGCTAGGGGCTTTGAGTTATTATTTTGTCAATTCCCAAAAGTAGAACAAAAAGAGGATCTTGTATTATAAAGTGGAGCTCAAATAACCAGCTGCTTCAAGGTCAGCTGGTGAGTTTATTATAATAATCCAATACGTAAAATGATGACAGAAATATTATAAGTAGTATAATGTAGACTATCTTATTATTATTTATAAAAGGAAAGAGAAACTGATACTACTGCTCACCTTTGGTTTGACGGTGAAAGCCATTTTATTGATCAATTCAACCTTCTTCTTCTCCTCCTGGGCTCTGGCCAGCCTCTCCTCGTACTTGAACCTCCGGTAATCATTGAGGACACCTTTAGGCCCAGTCTGATAGAAATACAACAATATTATATAACAGATCACTTAAAATACTTCTTTAATTATACTGCTGATTCATAAGCACTCATAATAATTAAAAATAGTATAAATTATTATTATCACAGACTTGTGGCATTCCGTCCATCATTGGTTGTGGTACATAGCCAGGTACTTTCTCCTCTCCTTCATCCTCAGAGCTCGAGGCATAGTTGCTCTTCTTGTTTCCTCGTATCTTCTCTTCTAAAGGTGATGCCATTAGTGACAGCACAGCTGCTGCTGGTGCTAATAGTTAATAACCATAAATTAACTTTAATTGACCACACCTACCACTAACCACCCACTCATTTGAACGCAATTATAAAAACAGAGAGACACGCCCTAGAGCTAGTTGATCTGCGAGAGAAGGAGAGATGTCATCAAGTTCCTCGCCTGGGGAAGGCTATGAGAAGGCCCTAGGTCTCCTACAGCAGCTCCAGAATACAATAGAGACCCAGCAGAAGGATATATCTCGGCTGCAGTCCAGAGTAAAGAGTCTTAGAGGACAGAATGATGAGCTGAGGAGAGAGAGGGACGAGCTACGTGAGAGTCTTGCGGACAAGATGAACAAGATTGCAGAGCTGAGCAGGAAAACCTCTTCAATGAAAGGACGGGCTAGTCTCCCTTCCTTACAAAATAGGTGAGCCAAACACATACTTGATAAAATGGGAAAAATAAACCAACTATTATTTGCTGGAGGTGACTTTATCTAAACAATCTTAGCTGCATTACAGATTTATACATATACAGTATGGAGCATAAAGTTACTCAACCTTGCAAGCTCATAAAAGCTCAAAGCAATCCTGCAATACTATACTGTGATATATGTACTATGTGCCACTGAATACATAAGTTGATCAGTTTGAGCTGCTTTCAGTTTTAATCATAAAATCCCTTTAACTCCCAAGACAGCAACTGATCCTAACCGTATAAAGGTATCCGCTGTGGCCTATTGTTGTTTTCAGTCTTGCATGGATTAGTTATTGGCAGTGCCAGTGAGTGGAGCCTGATTGCCACACCTAGGGAACTAGTGGGCCCACAATGCACTGCTGTCACTGCACAGCAACACAACAAAGACTAATTCATACCCAATATGTATGTTTAATACACAAAATTATGCGACTATTTTAAGACATAATCATGTTTACCAATTCCATATGAGAATACTGGCCTTGTAGCAATGCTCCTCTTTGGTACAATGTTTTGCCTTCCTTGCTGCTCCCAGTGGAGTAACCTCAGCATAATTGAGATTCTTATTAACATCGATTGAAATAATATGCAATTATATAAAATATGTAGCATAGCAAGGTACATGTATGCGTTTACTTTGCAATCGATCAGGTTGTTCTTGTGCTAATTAGATTAGAGAGTAAAGTTTGCAAGGAGAAGCCTCCACTCTTCCACACACGCACAAACTAATTAATTGGAACAAAAATTCTCGTCTGCTTGTCTCGCACGTCATATGTCTTTGCACATTGAAACTTAGATGAATGCTTGTTTATAAAGAGAAAAAAGAAAAAATTCATCTTTTTGTTTTGTTTAGTTGGTGGGTGTAAACAAGAGTATAAAGTATAAGATTATGTTCCTGTGTGGGCTGGTCTCATGAATATTATTGATGAGTCAAACAAGCTGACCATGCCTTAGGAAAAGTGTTTATAGGAGAAGGACAAGCCAGAGCCTGTTTTAGTCTAAACTGTACCACTGCCTGGGTAGGGAAGAGGACTACCTATAGTTTTGACACTATAGCTTATACGGGTCGTTAATTCTACACTTGCATCTTTATAATCACCTCTTTTCTTCCTACAGCAGCAACAGTCCTCCTGTTCCAAGAGAGCCTGACTTCAGATTCAGTGGAGATTACGCTGAGCCAATACCTCTGGTGACAGTAGAGGGTTGTCAAGTGGAGGAGGAAGGAGCTTTGGAGCAAGGAAAAGTTACACTGAGGAGAAGTCGTTCACGCGGTGACAGTGAAATCAGGAAAGGAGTCTATCTGCCAAGCACTCCTCCTATCGTCCCAAGGCAATCACGCCGTGAGTCAAAGAAAGAGAGAGAAGAAACCAACACAGAACAAGAAGAGCAAGAAGAGGATCAGGATAGTTCAGAGGAAGAGGAGGAAGAAGAAGTATCTATTACTCCAGTGCCACAGCATCTCTTGGACAGTGAGAGGTTCAATAATTCCTCAGACATGAGTACAGACCTCTCCAGCAATGAGGGATCCATCACTAGTATGGACGACTGCAGGAGTCCTGCTTCAAGTGTCACTGCATCTCCTACTCACGACTCCATTAACTTCGTGTTCATGCAGACACCAACGGACTCAAGAGGCTTTCCTCAGTTTGGGAGTGAGGAAGAGGATCACCCAATCACTGCCTCCATGCCGCCAATGAGGAGTCGCCTAGCAACTGTTGCTCACGTTGCCCAGAGAAGAAAAAAGACCACAGACGATAAAGTAACCAAATCTACATCACTTCACAGACAGAACTCCTTCCCGAGACGAGGAAGGAAGTTGAGTGAAAATGAAGATAGTTTTCAGCTTTCACCGGACATGGAGTTAAAAATACAACAGCTGATACAAGAAGGCCTCGGTAAGAAATATGGCGGACTTGACAGAGCCAACCGAGCAGCTGGTGTGATCCAGAAAGCTTATCGCAAGCATAAGATTGACCTCCATTTTAAAATGTTGCGTAAAATGCAGCAAGACCAGGCTGGTGGGATCAGAGAGAGGAGAAGAACAATGTCAGTTAGACACAGGGCAACCAGCATCCTTAAGAACAAGCTCAGTGCCACCAAAATGACACAAGTCAGGGAGAACATGTCCGGACTGAGTCCCTCGATATCTCGTAGGGAACTCCGCAAGAAGCCAAGCCCAAGCTCTAGCACTATTGCAGAGAGTTCTTCGAGCAGTTCCTTAAAGGCTGACGAAGGTGAGGATGAAACTCCTCCTAGCATATTCGAAGGATTATCAAGCACTACCTTGAGGGAGTTATTTCCACCTGGCCCTCCCCGCCAACTGAGTAAATCAGCTTTAGAAAGGAAGAAGAACATTGGGACAAACATATTCAACAGGTAAGTGTCAATAAAAACTAATACTTGTCATCACTAATACTCTAGTTTATTCAGTAGTGGTGTGGTCTTTACTCCAATTAGAGTAATATGTTTATTATGAACCTACTATTGTATCCACTTCACTTTGACTTTATAGTCGGTCGATAAGTCATTATGACTGGGACTGTCTCTGTAGTTATGCCTGTTTATTTTTCAGTATGTGTGCAATTAGACTATCACACACACACACACACACATTGTGATGTGTAGAAATAAAGCATTGCCAGACTAAAAATAGGAGACCTACGGTTGCCATAGGCTAAAGATGAGAGACCATGTACATTCATGCCCCTCCTTCTCTTTGACCATAGGAAGCCAGTGAAAGGTATCCAGTATCTGGTGTATCATGGCGTGTTGAAAGACGACCCATCCGATGTGGCCAACTATATGAAGGATCAATATGGCCTCAGTAAAGAAAGGATTGGGGAATTTGTTGGTGAAATACGCTATGACTTTAACATGCTTGTACTAGAGTAAGTTATCATAAATGTTTTAGTCAATTTTTAATTTCATATTCTGATACGTATTAATGTCCCAATGTTATTATTATTGATCCACATACAGTACATGTAGATGTATAACATGTATTATATGTATCAGTTACATGTACATGTGCATGAATTATTACCTGATTACGTGTGCTTAAGTTTACATACAATATCCTTAATGTTATAGAAACTATTACATTATTATTATTATTTATTATCTAAGTATTATTCCTTGAAATATTGATGACGTACATTACATACATGTAATGTATCATTAAATGGGTTACAGGCTCTAAGCCAAAGTTGTGCTCATAAATCCTTGCCAATGTTGACATACACTCGTGTAACTTGAAGGATTCTTGTCTCTTTGACAAAGCAATTTATTTGTTTACAGAAAACACTTTACATGTAAGAAGGATCAAACTGCCATTGTTCAGTTCATGTAATGTATTAGCATCCAGACTATGTTGTACATGTACAAAATGTTTATTAATTTTATTTTAAATGTGCAGGTGCCTGGTCCAGCTGATTGATCTTAGTGGAAAGTCAATTGATGAAGCTTTGAGAAGCTTTCAACTTTTATTCAGAATGCCTGTGAGTTTGTCATAATTTATGATCAGATTTATTGTTATTTTATTCATGTTTTTGGTTTACTGTTATTCAGGGCGAGGCTCAGAAGATAGACAAAGTGATGCAGGTACTAATGATACCCATTAACAAAAGACATAATAATAATAATAATAATGATAATAATAATAATAATAATAATTAATAATTAGTAATAATTAATAATAATTAATAATAATTAGTAATTAATGTGACGTCTCCTTGTGTACTGTAGGTTTTTGCTGGTGAGTATTACCATAGTAACAAAGATGGAGGCATCATCAAGTCAGAAGACGCTGCTTACGTCCTATCATTTGCAATAATGATGCTACACACTGACCTTCACAATCCTTCGGTTAAGAGACACATGTCAAAGAATGACTGGATCAAAATGAACAGAGGTAAGGTGAAAATGGATGGAATTCTCTCCTAACCATTTTATGTGCAACATTCCTGAAACATGGAAAGTACATGTACAAGACATGAGGTTTCATAACTACAATCATGTTAACAATATGTCCCTCCCTCCTCCCCTCTCTCCTCCCTCCCTTCC